ATTTTGAGAGAAAAAATAAATTATTTTTATTAAAAGGGATTGATAGGAGGGTTGTGGGGATGAGTGTACTTATAATCGGCAGGATTTTTTGCCGATAATATATACATATTCGTTAGAAATTAGCTGTCGATTATTTATAATTGACAGTTTTTTTCTGTCGGTTGTTTTTTATTATATTCGACAGAAATGTTGACGATTAAAGAAAGAAACGATGCCGTTTTTTAGTATAACCGTCAACTTTGGCTACCGTTATGCTTAGGTCATACCCCCCGCCTTCCTCGCTTTCCCCCATTTTCTGATGTTTTTCCTGCCTATCTGCTTTCTTCTCTGGCGAGGTTAGCTTTTGCCGTTCGTGCTGCCCTGTGTACCTGACCCACGTGCGTCCTGGTTTCGAAATCCCCACGCCATTAACGGTAATTTTGCAGCTTTCTTGGTAGATTTTCTTATGTTTCTCTGTTTGGTTTTCCTCCGATTTACAGTCTGTATTCCCTCGCATTCTTGTAGATATGACGGCTCCACATCACACCATCGGCCAGGGGAGCTAACTTCCGCTGTCGACGCCTCCGCCTTGCCTGGAAATCGGGCACGCATTACACGGTAAGTTTTCCCACCAATTTTTTTTATTTCCCCTTTGATTTTGCTCGAGATGAGAATGTAGAAATAGACATAGAATTAGGATGAGAAACTGCAAAAAAAGAAAGTTAATAGGACGAAAATGATATAGATTAAAAGAGAAGGTTGAAAGTCTTTTTTTTTCCTTGTATAAAATGGAAACCAATTCCAGAGCTAGAAGCGAATTTGCAAAACTCCTAGAAGATAAATGTAAGAACTTTTCTGTTGGAAGTTATTGAAAAGAATTATGTGAATAAATCACTATAACATCACTGGGACCGATTCAGCACTTGACTGGTCAAAATGTAGAATGGTTCATTTTCATCATTGGACTCATCATTTGACTGGTCAAAATAATCTCCTGGATCATCACTGGGAATATAAAGTTCATCTTCATTGTCATCAGATTCAGCACTTAGATCATCATCATCAAAACCCGAGTGAATTTCTCTTCTATCTTGCTTCTCATTATGATTTTCCATGTTGCTTGATGTTGCTACTGCTTTTCCCTTTCTTATTTTCTCCTTCTTCTTTTCTAGATTCTTTTTGCGATTTTCCCTTTTTCTTAAGAAGGCTTCAACGATCTGATCATCTACATCACTATGAAGATCCTCAACATCAAAAAATGGCTCCTCTTCATTTTCAATGCCATCTACTGCATGAAATTCTGTTTCTGTCTCATCATACATACCAAACTAAAACTGTTCTACATGTTTTCCTAATCCCTCAGCATCATTTTCAGCACCACTTGCTGCATCAATTTCTTCTACATATTCACCACCATCTTGCATTATTTCTTTTGTGACATAACTTGCCCCACTATCGCCAACCTTAAAAAAGTCCATATGATCTGCCCCACCATAAACTTCCTTGTCTGCCATTGTTGTGAAAAGAAATAATAAAAAATATAGTAATTTTTCTTAATCTTAATTCAATATACATACAAACCTAAGCATTAACCATACTTAACCATACTACTGCATATGACATAAACCTTAAATCCTTACTAAACAAAACCCAACCTAATACATTC